GGAAAGAAGTTTTTATGAGAGAGGGGGAGCACTAAATTGAAAATCTCAGAATTGCATAGGTATACTGCAAAGAAGTTCAAGTCACTTGAAAAATAATAAAGTATGATCTCTCTCACTTACATGTGACATCTTAAAAAAAGCAATAAAAGGGAATTCCCTGGCAGTCCAGTGGTTAGAACTCCACACTTTCACTGCCAAGGGCCTGGGTTCAATCCCTGGTCGGGAAATAAGATCCCACAAGCTGCGTGGCATGGCCAAAAAATAATAATAATAAATTTTTTAAAATTAAAAAAACAAAAAAACCCCACCAAACTCACAGATACAGAGAACAAACTGGTGGTTGTCAGAGGCAGGGGGTGGGGGATAGGCAAAATAGGTGAAGGGGGTCAAAAGGTACAAACTTCCAGTTATAAGATAAATAAGTTCTGGGGATGTAATGTAAAGCATGATAACTATAGTTAACAATACTGTATTATATATTTGAAAGTTGCTGAAAGAATAGATCTTAAAAGTTTTCATCACAAGAAAACAAAAATTGTAACTGTGTGGTGATTAGTAGTTAGTAAGTAACTAAACTTACTGTGGCAATTGTTTTGCAACATATACAAATATCAAATCATTATGCTGTACACCTAAAACTAATACAATGTGATAAGTTAATTATATCTCAATAAAAGAAAATAAATTAACAGGGGAAAAAAAACCTTTCTATGCTCCAAAATAGAAATTATTCACATAATTATTAGTGAGCAAAATCTCCCTCTTTAAATTTAAAAAACTGCTTAGAACACCTTTTTTTCTTTTACTGTAGTCAAATTATTATTTATCATTCCTCATTTTTAAATTTGTTTTATTTTAGAACCAGCTATTTCTCATCTCAGTTACTCTGACATCCATTTATGTTTAAAAAAATATAATCTAAGACCAGGCAGTAGTGATGTTATTTGAAAGGTTAGCCTTTTACTTACATTGAGAAAAGACAGATTTGTAAGTGGCTTGTTAAAAATGTCTGTCAACATCTGTAAGGAGCCAGTCCAGTATGACATTACACAAAACACAAAAATAAATAAATAAAAGATGATCTCAGGGAATAAAGTAAGATAGAAGAACATGAACTAAGTACAAAAATCAGAGACGACAGATTAATTCTCCTTGGTTTTTAACAAAAGCAGCAATGATTTACAACTCACATAAATGGACAACAGGCGTTAAATGAGAAGTAACAGATAAAGTATCATGGTTCTGGCTATGAAACATTTTTATGTATCTCAGATCTCTGAACCTCAACTGACTTCTCTGCAAGGCAGTATGAGAGGCTTGTCGGACAACCCACCAACATCAAAGCTACTCTTGCTTTCCCGCTACTCTCCTGCCTAGATGTGGAGAATGGTTAACAGGACACGTTAACAGCTTCTGTATGGCAAAGTGAAGTTTAATGACCAAAGGCAGTAAAGCTGTAGGGGGAAAAGTGGGGGAGAGAGCCCATAAAGCCTTACTAAGAAGGCTCAAAAAATACAACACAACTGGGAAAGCAGCAGTAGTAGACAGGGCATGACGTGTCAGTGTAGCTACCAAGAAAAACATGGTTCATTTGAGAAAAAGTGGTAACCATTCATTCATTCATTCAGTGAATATGTGTAGAGTGCTGCCTGCATCCTGGCCCCTGCTCTAGTCACTGCGGGTATGGACAGCATGCAAAACAGACAAAGTCCATGCTCCTGATGCTCTTTACATTCTAGCGAGGGGGAAACAAACACACACACACACACACACACACACACACACATCACGGGACGATAAGCATTACCGGAAAAAAAATAAAGCAGGATAATAAGGATAGGGAATGTGGGGTGGGAGTTGGTGGAGGGAAGACTATTTCTCTATAAGGTGCTCATGATTAGCTTCTCTGAAACGTGATATTTGAGCAGAGATCTGAAGGAAGAGGTGTGAGTTGTAAGGATATTCATTCCAGCTCCAAGAAGGCAGGGACTGTATCTTGCAGACTCTGACCTACCACCTTTAACCTTCTTCCCTTCTTGAGAGATAGTATAGAATAGTGGTTAAGAACACAGATGGAGACTAGCTGTGTTTGAATCTTGGCTCTGCCACTGTCTTACTGTGTTATCTTAAGCAAGTTACTTAACCTCTCTGTGCTACTTATTCTTCTTTCGTAAAATGGGGATTAAATGAGTTAGTATATGTAAAAGTGCTTAGAGAAAAATGCACATAGTACAGGACTAATTTTCAGACCATGCTTATTGTTTGTATTACTTTGATCAATCAAAAAAAAAGATTAGGATAAGAACATGTATTTTACAGGCAGGTGAATTCAATTAAGTTAGACTCCTGCTTTAACTGGGTATGTTCATTCATTCTACATATATTCACTGAATACCTGCCACAGCACTATTCCAGGGACTGGGGTTAACTGAAAGAAAAGCTAGACAAAGCCTCTGTTCTCAGGGAAGTTTACAGTGTGGTGGGAGGAGACATACAATAAACAAGTATATAAAATGATAGCTACACTGGTGGCAGCTGCTGTAAAGGAAATAACCAAGGGATCGCAGTGTGGGGAGTAACTAACTTTACACAGGGTGGGTAGGGAAGGCTTCTCTGAGGAGGTAACATGTGAAAAGGACTAGCCATGAGAGGACGGGGGGCAAAGCAATGAGTCAGGCTGGTAGAAACAGCAGGTAAAAAAGCCCCGAGGTAGAACATTTAGAATATTCTAGGAAGGGTGGGGGCATTATGTTTGGGAAGTCACTGGCAAGAGATGGGTGGTTATGAAAAAAAGAACAGAGAAGTAAGCCAGCTGTCATGCATGGAACTGGAACACAAGCATGAAGAAAAACAGAAATGGCACCTTCTCTGGTGGGGCTTCTAAACAAAGCTAACCAAACAATCACAGTAACAAACATAAAGCTGCAACTGTGACAGCTGCCACTAAGAAATTACACAGTGGTATGAAAAGATTTAATAAGAAGATGTATTATTTGTCAGGGAGGACAGAAGCTTAAAATGGGATCTAAAGGATAAGTAGCACTTAACTGGAAGTGAGAGGAAGGAAGAGCATTCCAGGTAGAGAGAACAGCATGTGCAAAAAAGAAAGCCTAGTGACTACAGGGAATGAAAAAGGTCCAATTTAGTTCAAAAGGATAGAATGAGAGGAGGAGTGATACAAAATGTAGCTGGAGAGGTGGGGAATGGCCAGACCACAAAGGGTCTTGTAGTTAGTAAAGTGTTTCCAGCAATAGGATGACATAACATACATTCTGAAAGGATCACTCTGGCTGTGTGTAGGTTGCGGGGGAGGGTTTGGGTGGTGGATTGATGGGAGGCTGAAGCGATTAATGCAGAAGAGATGGTGACAGCTGGGACCAGGATGAAGGTGAGAAGTAGGTAAAACCAAGAGATATTTAGAAAGTAAAAGTTACAAGATTCAGTAAAGGCTTAATTATGGGAAGTGTGGAAGACAACCTCTATCTAGGTTTGATGACTGCACAGCGGAGCCATTCATTACGACCGGAACCACTGGAAGTATCTCTGTACTGCAGTAGGATTATGAGGTAGATCTTGAACCCATAAAGTCTGAGGGGCCTCTGAGGCATCTGAGAGAAGATGTGAAATGGGCAAGAGATACTAAGCACAGAAGCCCAGAGGAAAGATCTGGGCTGAAGACAGCCTCAGCTACCTCATTAGTAAGAGTACTTACCTCAACTGGAATGAGGATTAAATGAGCAAATGTATACAGTATGCTTTGCACAGCAGCCGGTTCATAGTTAGTACTAAATAGATAGTAGCTTTTATTATTGTTAATGTTATACTGACTATTGGATAACTTACAAACTAGTCCCCTTGACTAAAACTGGCAAAGAGACGTATGTATCGCTACTTCTAGTATCAAACTGAAATCACTTCTGCTGCAGTTTCATTAACCATGCCTCTTACCCTACATTCAATTCCATATAAATTAAGCATTCATATATACCTGATTTATGGCACTGTGTGACAAACCAGGTAAAGCAATCCCTGCTTTCAACCAGCTGTGGTCAAGCTAAACAAGACATATATCGCACAAGCTAAGGTGCACGCCCACACACACACCCTAGTGTACCAGAGATGTCACAAAGCAATATAAATGATTATCTTATATAGCTTGAGAGTGTAGTTGTAATTTGAACCCTAGTATGAGTCCCAAGCGTCTGCAAAGAACCAGAGTAAATCCTCAATAAATGTTTAATGATAATGAGCAAATATTCTAAATGACAGTTATCTAGTGGGTGGGACTTCCAAGAGGTGATAAAACACCTTTACGACAAAGAGAGCAAGGACTTCCAGATGACAGCGCACTGTGTTTAGCAGGCCCACCTTTATTTAGAAGCATCCTAAATCACAATCGACTGTATTCTCCAAATAAGAAACAATAAAATTCATTGGTGGTCTACGGCTATGCCTTATCCAATACAGTAGCCGCTAGACACACAGGACTATTTAAACTTAAATTAACAAAAATCAAAAGAAATTTAAAAGTCATTCTAGCCACATCTTAAGAGTTCCCTAGCCACATATGGCTAAGTGGCTACCCTACTGGACATCGCAAAACACAACATTTCCATCACTGAGAAAGTTCTACTGGAATTCAGCGCTGGTCTAGAGCAAATTTAAAACACAAACTCTCTTAACACAACTTTTCACCAGTCTGGCAACTTGAACTTTCAACTTTATAGCACATTAAGAATATACGACCCCACAAGGAAAACAGAATTGGCTGTGTTCAGTTCTCACTTTAAAAGTGTCTTGCACAGATAAATTTAACAGTTGTTTCTATTACACTAAAAACTCTCACAAATGATACATATACATAAACCGAATAGTGAGTGTGCATCAGGACCCATCTGTAATTAACTGAAAGATGTGCCATTATCTTGTATACTTTATATCAATACAATACTGTAAATTACAAAATTAAGTTCTATTGTGCTTAAACTACAGAATTAGTGCTTTTACTTACTAAACACAAGTGAGCATCCACGTCTGAGGTGGCAGAATGAGTAAACGTGGTTAAAGGAGGCAATGCACAGGGTGGGTGTCAGGAAGAGTACTGAATATGCCTGTGGTGATGGTCACATCCATGCGTAAAGGTACCCCCGTGATTCCTAAGACACATACGCAGAGAAGAAAGTCTGCGGGATGGGGGCTGCCTGAACACTTGTGTACCCAGTCTGGATTATCTCTGGAAAGGTCCCCAGCCACCTGTGGTCCCAGGGGAAGGGGTCAGCCCTTTGACACGGAAATGCTTCCAGGGGTGGACACACCGGAGGAGGGAAGGGAGGGCAGTGATGATCACAAGTGCCTACAGCGGCAGGAACTGTGACAGGACAGGATCAGAGGCCGGGACAAGAAGGAGAGCTGTGACCACCCCCTCCCCAGCCCGAGCCCTTCCCGGCCCCCGAAAGCGAGTTACATAACCCCGCCAGACGTCTCTCCGCGCCGGGCGAGGGTGCAGGCGGGGAGGACAGCCCCCGCGGCCGGCGGTCGCTCTTCCCCCACCGCGGCCGGGGGCCCGAGCCGGGCCAGGAGAGCAGCCACCGCCTCCGCCCCGCCCGGGTTGGGCCCCCGGGCTTTCGGTTTCCGGCCCTGGCTCTCACACAACCCTACAAACCAATACACAGACACCATAACAAAGGCGGCGACGCGGCGGCAACACCGGGGTGGAAGGACTAGGGGACCACAGCGGGGCTGGCAGTCATCCCACTTGCCCGGCAGAGGGCACGGCCGCCCGTCCCGGCCGGATGCAACCCGGGGTCAGGCGGACAGCGGGAAGAGTGGGGGTGCTTTGAGGTGCTACTCACTCTCGTCAGGCAACTGGTCGAGCTCCGCCATCTTGAACGAGCCGCGCCGCTTTTTCAAAGGCTGCCCGCCGCGGTGCATTGTGGGGCGGAGACTGTCTTTGCGAGGGAGGTTCGAATGCGGAGCTCGCTGCCCGCGGTGCGGCGCACCGCG